GCTTCGGGCCTCTGCTCCCCCGACCTGCGGCCAGGGGACCCCGCCCCTCCCTGCTCTTCCCCCACCGCGCCAGCACCTTCCTTTACTAGAGCCGAACTCGCCCACCGCAGGTGCATCGGAATCACCCGCGGAACGTGTTAGCCTGCGGATTCCTGTTCGCGCGGCCCAGAGATGCTGGTTCAGTGTGGCGGGGGAGGAGCGGGGAACCTGCATGTCTCCCATGTTTCGCAGTGGGGGTCCTCTGACAGGGTAGCCTGGGCGCCCTCATTTCGCCGTCAGGGTCTGATTATACCAGTGACTCCCAGAGCTGCAGCCCTTCTCTCTGAGCTCGGAACCCAGGCCCTGGATGCCCCTGGCGAGCTGTTCATGAGTGCGGCCGATGGGGCTCTCCTGAGCGCCCGGTTCCCAACCTGTTCCTCCCTCCTTAGTATTCGCTCGCTCGTTCGTTCATTCGTTCATTCATTCATTCATTCATTCATTCAACAGAGTGTTTATTACCCACTTGGTATGTGCTAGGTCCTACATTAGGTAGGGTGATAAAATAATGAACCAGACAGACCTGATAATGCCCCATGGAGTTTATAGTTTAATGAAGGAGACAGATGATAACATAAAACTAAACATTGTGATAAGTTCTGTAAAGGAAATAAACGGCGGAAGCAGCGTGGGCCAGTGTGGACTTCCCACTGTGAACAGGGTCATCAGGGAAGGCCTCTCTGAAAATGTGACATTTAAATGTAGGACCTGGCAATAATTGTAACAGTGTTTAGAAAGGGGAGTAAGTGTTGGTGAGGATGTTGAGAAAACGGAATTCTCATGCACCGTTGGTGGGAATGTAAAGTGGTGTGGTCATTCTGGAAATCGTTTTGGCCTCAAAAAGTTAAACACAGAGTTACCTTATGGCCCAGCAATTCCACTCCCAGATACGCAAGGAACTGTAAACATAAATTCACAGAAAACCTGTTCCTGAATTTTCATAGCAACATTATTGATAATAGCCAAGAAATAGAAACAACCCAAATGTCAATGAACTGATGAATGGGATGAACCAAAAGCTGCATACCTATACAATGGCATATTATCAGCCATAAAAAGGAATGAAGTATTAATGCACATTACAACATGGATGAACCATAAAAACGTTATGTCAAGTAAAAGAAGCCAGGTAACAAAAGACCACATATTATATTGTTCCATTTATATGAAATATCCAGAATAGGCAAATCTATTGAGTCAGAAAATAGATTAATGGTTGCCTAGCACCTGGGAAGGGGAGAAAAGGGAGTGACTGATAATATCTATGGAGTTTCTTTTCAATGATGAAAATATTCTGGAATTAGATGAATATTGTGCATGTACTAAAGACCATTCAACTCACTTTTAAATGGCTAAAGCTGTGATTTTTGTTATGTAAATTTTATCTTAAAAAAAAAAAAAGACTGCCCCAGAGAGATTAGCATCTAGAGAGAGAATCTGATTGGTCCATTGTGGATCAGGTACCCAGGCTGGGATACAGGGTTAGATGGACCAAGCAGGAGGCTGGGAGGGAGTCGTCCTTTTGGGTGGGGACTTAATGTTCAGAGGAGAAGGGTATGGGCTGGGTCGCTGTCCCAAGAAATGTCTACTTTATTATTATTTTTAAATATATTTTTTATTGATTCCAGAGAGGAAGGGAGAAGGGGAGAGAGATAGAAACATCAGTGATGAGAGAGAATCATTGACTGGCTGCCTCGTGCACACGCCTTACTGGGGACCAAGCTGCAACACAGGCACATGCCCTAGACTGGAATCAAACCCGGGACTCCTCAGTCTGCAAGCCGACACTCCATCCACTGAGCTAAACTGGCTAGGGCAAGAAATGTCTACTTTAAGTATAAAAAAATAATGTTAAAGAAAATCCTGGAGAGCCCTGGCTGGTTTGGTTCAGTGGATGGAGCGTCGGCCTGCGGACTGAGGGGTCCCAGGTTCGATTCCAGTCGGGGGCGTGTGCCTTGGTTTCGGGCACATGGCCAGTGGGGAGTGTGCAGGAGGCAGCTGATCAATGTTTCTGACTCTCTATCCCTTTCCCTTCCTCTCTGTAAAAAATCAATAAAATATATTAAAAAAAAGAGAAAATCCTGGAGGAAAAAAATCACCCATAATTCTAGCATCTTAATTATGGCAGTTTGTATTTCTGCAAATCCTTCCAGTATTTGCTCACAGGCCAACATACTTTTTCTAGTTGTAATCACTGTCTGTGCTGTTTACTTCCTGTAGTTTTCACTTCTCATCCTATCACATATCTTTCTCATGTTTCCAAATCATCTTCATAATCATCAGTTTTAATGGCTACCTGACATTCAATTGAGTTGCTGTACCATAATCTCTCTCTCTTAATCCCTTTGCCATGTCTGGATATTTACACAGCTTCTACTTCCTTTGGTTGGAAAAGCATTTAAATAGTCATTCTGCAGGGAATACTTCCATGCATGCTGACTCTCATGCTGACTTTTTCTTTACTGGAGTTGCCCAAATTGCTTAAAAAGACCAACTAGGATAAATTTCCCCATGAAATGTCAAACTAACAAGAAACCTAGAACAAAAAGAGACTCATGAACTCACTGAACTAGCTGGGAATGCAGCTGCAATTCCTGGGGACTCCCTCCTCCCCGCCAGGGAAGTCTCTGTTCTTACTGGTGTGTTTATGCCTCTCTCCCCACCAATAATTCAATAAAGTCATCTCTGCTATGAATACACAATACTAATGCAGATTTATCTCTTCATTGGGGTTGTGTCAGATTGGGTTGCTTTTGCTGTTACAGTGCTACTCTGAACATCCTTAGTCATGTCTTTCAGTCCTGAGGTACACATGTAGGGGTCTCTCTAGACCAGTTTCTCAACCTTGACACACTAGACATTTAGGGATAGACTATTCCGTGTGATGGGGGCTGTCCTGTGCATTGTGGGATGTTAAGCAGCATCCCTAGCCTCTGCCTAGATGCCAGCAGCATATCCCATTTGCGACAACCCAACATGTCTGCAGACATTGCCAAATATCCCCTGGGGGACAAAGCAGCCCCCCACTGTTAAGAACCACTGCTCTAGACCAGTGGTTCTCAAACTTCATTGCACTTTAGAGTCATAGGGGGGAGCTTTTAAATATTCCATGCCCAGACTGCACTCGGTCCAATTAAACTGGAAGCCCTGGGGCACACTGCTGGCACTGATCCTCACGTTGCCTGCACCCCGAAATCACCTGGGAGCTTTAAAACACACTGATGCCTGGTCCACAATCCAGAGGTTCTGATGTAACTGGTCTGGAGTGGGGCCCGGGCATTAGGGTTTTAAAAAGTGAAGCCTCAGGTGAGTCTAACGTGCAGTCACAAAGCCGATGAGATTGCTGAGCTGCAGGGCTGCACTTTACTGAGTATCAGAAAACGGTTTCCAACCACGGTTTCCAATGGTGTCTTTGACTTCTGTCTGCTCTCCTCCCCCATCGCTGCCCTCAGCGCTGAGCTCCATGAAGGCAGCGTCTACCTCATTTATCTTTCTATAACTGTTGCCTAACCCAGTAGCTGGTACAGAGTAGTTGCTTAATGTATATTTGCTGTTAAATGGGTTGTATTTTTGCTGCAATTTTAAAACACCTTGTTGTTGGAGCCAGTAGGGAGAGAAGCAGAATTAAGGCGACTGGACATGGAGCCAGCACCCCATGGATCTCTAACACATTCCTCCGTGTCAGACTAAGAAAGATAGTCAGTGTCAGCAAGTGTGAGAACTTGTAGATGCTTCATTCGGACGCCTCTGAGGACTTCCTGCTGTGGGAAGCAGAGCAGAAGTGAGGGGGTGCCAGGAGCGAGGGGCTTTGGGTGCCGATAGAAAGGACTCAGGACTGTGATGGGGCGCTGAATGGAGACTGGGGTGAAGGTCTCCTCGGTACCATTCCATGAATGCTGTGCTCCCAACATGTCCATGTCATAATCCCTGGAACTTGGGAATGCTGGGTCACATGGCAAAAAGGAGTTAAGGTTGCAGATGGAATTACAGTTGCCGCTGACCTTGAGATGGGGAGGTCATCCTGTGTTATCAGCGGAAGAGGGAGGCCTACGAGTTAGAATCAGAGAGAGATTTGAAGACGGAGGAAGGAGCCCCGGGCTAAGGAATGCAGGTGGCGTCTAGAAGCTGAAAAGGCAGAGAGACAACATCTCCTCTGGAGCCTCCAGAAGGAACTGACCACGTGTGATTTTAGCCCCAGGAGGCTCGGGGTGGACTCTGACCTCCAGTCTGTGTTGTTTTAGGCCGCCAAGTTTGTGGTCATTTGTTACAGCAGCCATAGGACACTTACATACCTCCCAAGGTTTGCTTTGTTTGCTCCAAAAGGAAATGTGACGGGGAAAGTATGTTTTGTATCAAGCTCTGGTCTTTATGAATAAGAAAAGCAAATGGTTGATATTGGGCGTGCTCGGT